ATGTTCGTATTCCAAGCAACCCAAATCCTCACACTAGGGCAGCAAGCATAATTATGAGATACCTCCCAGCACCCAAAAGTCTTAATCTTGGTTCTTTCAAAGTTAGCCTCACTAACCCTTGTTTCCAAAACACCACACACCATAATTTTATTAGAAGAGATCAGGTGCCTGACCTCTTTTTGTTTCAAAGGGGAATTAAGACCCTTATATTCCAAGGAGCTAAATTAATCATAGGGAGGGTGGAGTTTGAATGGAGTTCTCGCCCTTTTGGCTAATTTCTTCTTTGGGTTCTTGGATATGCTCTCTTTCCCCTTCTCAAAATCTTCTTTTTCATCAACTTTCAACAAATTCCAAAAAGAATAACAGATGGAGAGCAAGAATCCATTTCAGTCTCCTCTAAATTATTCAAAATAATCGATTTAGTAGGGGGAGTTTTTTCTTCGTGACCATCACTCATTTCTTCAGCCCTATTAATAGAAGTAGGAACACACTCATCCTTATCACACACCAGCTTAGGACTCTCACTCTCATTCCCTTGCTCTTCCTCCTTATTCTCGGACAACACAACAAACTGGTTTTCATGCGCGCAGGGAGCACTAATTTCAACATTCATATCAACCTTTGAACACTCCCCTTGCTTATTCACAATAGTCAAAACGTTTTTCCTCAAAGAGACTTGTCACCATTCTTGGGATTGGGGAGGATTTTTCTTAGAAACGAGGGGTTGGGATCCTTTGGAGCTATAGGACAGTTTCTTTGGATGTGCTTAAAGGTTTTACACCAGGAGCAAGTGAGAGGTTTCCATGCAAATTCCACCCTTATATTAGTAATCTCACCATTCGGCAATTCGAGATCAAATGCCTCCCTAAACTCAGAGGATGCATCCATCTCCAAGCAACTTTTAGCAAATTCCAACCTATCTCCTAATTTAGTAATGTTGTCCATGTAAAGAAGAGAACCTACAATGCTTGCTATGTGGCTTAATCCCTTTGATGTCCAACACTCAAGCAGAATTCCATAAAACCTCGGCCCAAATAGGAAACCTTGTCACTCCATTCATACCCGAATTCAAGTTGGGACTCCATTTTTTCAAGAAAAATGGCTAACCTCCAATGAACCAAGGTCCATTCTCCAAAACATCAAGCTTAGTGACCTCATCCGAGAACTTTAAAATGTACTCCCCTTGCCTATAAGAAACAAATCCAACATCTCCAAACTTCTTCCAGTTCTTATCCACAAAATTTTTAACAAAGAAGAATGGCATTTTTTTTCCTAAGGAAAAAACCCACTAAACAATTGCTCCATTTGTCAACCCCCAAAGCCGCAACCTCACTAGAAAGAGAAACTCTAACCTTAGAACCATCCTTACTCAACATTGGTTTAACATACTTAAGGGACACATTGGATCTCTCAGAGGCAAATAGATTTTTCCACCCACTTTTGCTATCATTACTCAAAAGCTTGGCTTTATTGCTCCTTCCTAAACCATTAGAACCGCTTCCATTCAAAGGGACAAACCCACCATTAACACCAAGGGTTAACTGGCTAACCTTACAATTAGCAACCACAAGTTCCTTTGACATATCGTTAACCTTAAAACCATCCTCAACAACCTTGCTATCATCAACACCTGCAATTTTGCTCAAAGAAGTCTCCACAACCAAATCGCTTTCAGCCTCCTTAAGAATGACATCACTAGCCACCCTAATGACCTCCCCCTCCTCATACAAAGGGGTAGCACCAACCACATTATCGTCACAAGGATTTTTGACCACCTTAACCATAACAAAGTTCCTTTTTTTTTTTCACCTACAACTGTGGACAAACAACCCTTAGAACCTTCCACTGGCACCAAAGAGGGAGAAGGGAGGGGCGGAATAGAATTCGGGTTACTTGAAATATGGGAGCAAAAAGAGGTGACGTGGCAAGGGGACAAGGCAAGAGAGGTGACAAGATCAGGTGGGGTGGCATGGAGGATGGAAGTGTTTGCTGACTTGGCTAGAGGGTTGGGTTTTTCATTTGGATGGATGAAACACAAGATGAGGTGGAAGATAAGGGAATAATAAGGCCAATAGGAAAAGGATAAGAAAAACTTAAAAAATACACTATGGACCAGATAATAGTGAAAGGATAATGAAGAAATTTGGTTAGCCAATAAGAAGCCAAGATATCCAAAGAGGATAAGAAATGGAGGGAAAATCAAGCAAAAGAAGGACTACAAGAATGACTAAACACACAACTAGCTGGAAAAGGAACTCCGGCATTCCAAACCAACCACAACCCCTAAAGCACACACACACTTACAAAGTTCACCGAATCAAAGCACAAAGAGAACCCAAAACTTGCACAACAAGCACACAAAGAAAGCCAAGAAGAAACTAAAGGAAAGAATGGGTAGAAAAGAAGCAAGGATGGTCTGTTGATGGCGGTGGAGGAGAGGAGGTTAGGTGGAGGATGACGGGGGAAAAAGGGAAGGAGGGACGATGGAGAAGGGAGGGGTGAAAGGTTGAATTGAAGTACTCTTTCTTCTATTATTTATGATTCATTGATACAAGACAAAATACTCTTAAACCGACAACACGAATGATTTCTAGGGCATACACTAACAAACACCTAAACAGTTACGTTAACCTTGATTTAATTATTATATTAATTCAATTTTTTTTCCTCTAAATTCAAATAAAAAATGTACTTTAATTATTTTAGACTCCATGCTCTTATCAGTAATAAATTCAATTAAATTTTAATATTATTCTATATTATTTTTATATCTTATTATCGAGAAAATCTAGAGACTACCGCAAAGGTACCAACTCAAATTGTTGAGCTGGCACCATAAACCAATTAAATATTGACATTTGTCAAATATTATTAAAAGTTATTATTTCTAATTTTATCAAGAACTGGAAGAGTAATACTACATATACAACATTTCTCATACAAACTAATATGACAAAAGATGATTGGGTGAATGTTTATTTTTAATTTAAAATCAACCAATCATATTTTGCCACATCAAGTTATATCGGAAATATTGTATAAAAATGTAGTATGTGTAGTAATGCACTCATGAATCATCTCTTCCTTTACTCCGGACTTTGTATTCTTCATCATCACCATCTCTATCACTATCGCAACCTCCATTTTCTAGTCACCACCTCTTAGGGCTAAGAGAAGATTGGAATCCAACAAGAATAGAGAGCTTAGAAGAGACTACTCAAGCACAAGGTAAGTAAATTTCACTCAAAATCCAACTCAAGCTAAAATTTAAGAATTCAAGTGAGTAGAGATTTCTTTTAAATATGCATATGTTGTAATTATTGAGAAATTGAGATGAGATTGATGATGAATTATGCTTGTTGTTGGATATATTTGAATAAGAGAAGTATATGTGATGATTTGATGATGGGTTGAAATTGGAAGAATTGGAGAAATTTTTGTGGAGTGTGTTTGCCATGTAGGTATGTGATGCTACAAGAGAGATTTTCTCTCATTTTGGATGGTTTGAGAACTAAATAGAATGATAATTGAATTAGGGTTTGTCTATGCACAATTAATGTTTGATGATATGCCTAAGTAAAAACTGTCCTGTCACAGCCGTGACTTTCTCAGTGACTTTTGGGCATCTTACAGATTGAACTGGGTTGAGACCAAAGCGTAAAATTGTAACCCTGTCTCTAAGCTTTAAAACGAGACCAAAACTGTAGTAATCCGACGTGTATAACTCAAATTATGCCTTCTTGAGTGTGACCTGCGCAGAATGACTGTTTTGATGCAATATTGCATTTGTGCATTTCATAAGTGCATTAAGTAAGAAACTTTAAGCATGAACCATCCTTATGCATTAATTGTGCATTGAAGTAGTTTGAAAATGAGTAGAGAACTTTATAAATGAGCTACTCTAAAAGTAAAGAGAATGAGAAAAATCTAATAAATGTTTCAGGTTTTTAATTTATCCCGTTAACTCCTCCACCCTTTCCCCGGTCACCACCTTCACAAATCATAGAACAAATCTTGCCTACCGTAAAACAATTTCCTATCGTTTTTTTGGTTGATTTAGAAATGGATGTGTTGCTTTTCTGGTCAACTATTTCAAATATACTTCTCATTTATTTAGCTTTTCACCGGCATTGAAGATATCTTCGGTTTACACCGGAAAAAGAATTAGAAAACATCTGACACCGTCAGTTTTGGTTGGATTTTTTGGATCCTATTCTTTATCTTAGTTTAATCCTTATATTTACGTTGTACTTTTGTTTAGTCCTTATTCTGATATTTAATTTCAATTAAATTTAACACATGTCAATTTGTTAATGGTTTGTGGTATCACTCAACATTCTGACCAAAATTATATTCTAGATTTTTTTCCATATTATTACATAAAAATTTAATTAATAGTTATTAAATAGAGATATTACACACATAACTTCTTCTCACAATCCCTACGTAACTTTCTTTCACAACTCCGATGTGACAGCTAGCAATTGGTCAGTTTATAATAGTCCCACTTGGGTCCCATTTGATAAATTATGCTTGACCAATTGCGAGTTGCCATATGGAGATTGAGAAAGAAAGTTTGTGAGAAGAGGTTGTAGGTGTAGTATTACTCTATTAAATATCATAAACTTAATAAACTTAAATTTCTCCTATACGTGACAAGTGCTCTTTAAACAAACTGAATTTTATTTCTCCAAAGATGGCAGATAATAGCACTCAAATCTAGGAATCAAATCCATACGTGCACGACAATACTAGTGATGATGATGTGAATCTAGAATTCGAAATACTTTAGGTGAGAAGTTGAACTAACTACAAGATACAAGATGCAAGATACTTGGTTTTTTATTTATTCTTTTGGTCTACCAAATTAACCCCCTATTCTCCACTTCCCACATCCATAAAAGCTTCCTTTATTTCACATGAAAAATCATTCCACAAACTCATCACTTACGACCTTTTCAACTCAAGCCTTCTACTATTCTCCATAATCAATTTAAAAAATGGCCAATCTCCGTATCCCATCATTTATCTTACCAATTCTGCTAATCTCTTTTTCTTCATTTAGCTACAATGCTAATTTGGTGGGTGCTCGTCAACTTTTGGAGACACCATTGCTGGATTTGCCTAAGCCTAAATTGCCCGAGCTACCACCATTGCCTAAGGTTGATTTGCCACCAAAACCTAAACTGCCTGAGCTCCCAAAAATTCCTGAACTGCCAAAGCCTGAGTTGCCAGCAGTTCCTCATTTGCCTGACCTTCCTAAGCCTACATTGCCCAAGGACTTCCCCGTCGTCCCCGTCGTCCCTACTCACTCAGCTAATCCTTAATTACTCTCTTTCTCTCCTTGAATTACTGCCTACTTCGTTGTTATATACTTGGATCATCAGATTTCACTCGTGCATGCATTCCAACGTATTCTAAACTTGTGGTGTCTTCGTTTCAGGTGTTTACTTTTGACCAGATGATTTATGTACTTTTAAGTTGTTTTGGTGCTCTTGGTTGAGCTTGATTTCCTGTATTGGGCGTGTCACTTATTGTATTTCTTTGATATTATAGTGATTTTTGAATGTTCATTTATCAGTGGTACTTAAGTATAATGTTTCTCTGGCATATAGTATTTTTATGAATAAGAGAAAGCCGTCTCGACTAACAATTCTGAAATTAAGCATGATATATTTTTTATTCGATTAATTTGACATTAAACAAATGAATTGAAAATATATATTTTAAAATTAAATCATGCTAATACAAACTTGCTTATACAAATTAATAAAACTTATTTATTAAATTAATAAAACTTATTTATTAAATTAATAAAAATACGACAATACATATGACTCCTCAGAGTTAGGGACATCATAAGATAGCGAAAACAAGGTTATGCTTCTGAAATGTCATGAAAAATTTAGAAAGCTATGTACTTAAAAGTATTTTCTATCATCACCCTAACTAATTGTCGAAGTAATCTAGGTTTTAAAACCCAGACTAGACCGGTTGGTCGGACCGGCTCGACCGAGACTTGACAGCCTCTCCGATCCGGTTCAAGTTCCAAGGGGATTTTTCTATATTTCAAATTTATAGGGACTAATGATAATTTTTTATGAGTGTTTTTGCAATACTATAGGGACTAATTCATAATATTTTGGGTATTGTTATAATAAATTAAAATATAAGGGACTACTTTGTAATTTTTAGGAGTATTTTCAAAATTTAAGAGACTAATTTATAATTTTTTAAAAATACTTTTGTTGTTGACATCACCAATCCAACTAGTTGGACCGATCGACCCGTGATCCGATCACCTTGGCCAGTCTCACAATAGGTTGGGTTTCAAAACAATGGAAGTAATTGATTCACTTGCAAGCACGCCTAGTTTGTTTTAAGGATATTCTTTTCTTTTCTTTTCTTTTTTTTTTTTAAAAAAAAAAAAAGAGTTTTTCCAGATTAATTGGACTAATACAATATTGAATTCTAACTTAAACTTTTAGGTGGAAAGATAACTACACACCCATATTTCAACTAAATAAAAGAAAAAAAAATCCAAGTTTCAGCTGGCCTATTGAACTAATATTTACTTTATATTAGACAAGTTAAAATTTTCAAAAGCAACCAGATAACAGACCCGACTTTAATGTATAAATGATCCACCCTACAATAAGTTTCGATCAATGGTGATATTATCTTTGAAAATAAATTGCATGTAATTCATTAATATGATCTGTCCGTCGTGAATATGGGTAAAGGACGGACTTTACAACTCTTGACAGTCAAGGAAAAGATTTTAGAAAATAACTATCCTTCATGATAGTCTAGGAATGTTAAATTCACATCTCACCTAAAAGTTTAAGCTTATAGGTGAGGTCTCAACATATATTAGACCAATAGGCCCCTCACTTCAAACTTTGTTTTTTTTTTTTTTTTTTTTTTTTTTTTTTTTTTTGTTTGTCATTTCTTTGTATAATTCAATGATTTAGATTTAAATATTGATTTTTTTTTTTTTTTTTTTAGTTTCTTTATCCAGTTTGTATGTGGAAATTCGAACTTGAAACCTTTGGTTTTGATACTATGCTAAGTTGTCATCCAACTTAAAAGCTTAAGTTTGTAGGTAAAGGCTCAATATATATTAGACCAATAAGAAACTACTTTTCTAATTGTTTTTTAACCATTGAAGAAGATTTTTTTGAAAAAATAGTGGATCAAAATATACTTTCACATTATAATATTTAATTCAGCCGCCGACTAAATTAATTGTTGTGTGCTAGAGATCGTTACATCTCTAAATGCTCATAAACTCCCAGATACAAAGGAGGCATAGAACAATAGCTAGATGAGCAAAAGGTTCTTCACATATGGGTAATCTAGTGTGGCCGATCACCATTGAAAAGGGCAGCATTATTATGCGCTTACCCTAGTTAACCCTTCGTAGCTCTTGCCGTGGCTAGAAACAGGAGCTAATACATCCGTATAGATTCTTTCAATCTTTCTTCTTAAGGATCCAGATTCCAATCCCAAGCCATACACAAGTAGGCTTAGGGAACCAATTATTAGGAATCTGACTCGTTTGTTGACTCAGTTAAGGGGTCATGTCATGGGTTGATCGATCGAACCGGTCAGACTGATGAGTCGGATCGGTGACATCATCATGCTGACGTGAATATGATTAAAAAAAAAAACTCAAAATTTTCAGAATTCAATAAAAGACTGAAACATACCACAATTAAGAATGCATAACGAAAGCAAAAACAAATATCATAAAGAATAAAAAATGTACCTAAATAAAGGGCCAGACCCCTTTACAGCCAAGAACCTTGGACAACCCAAGGGACAAACACACACCTGGACTGTTGGACAGGCCATCCTAATAAGGACCAACCTAAAAAAAATCAGAAGCCATTTACAAGAACTAGCCACCCTATGGACAAGAGAACTATACATGGGAGAACAAAATGTCCACAAAGATCAACCCAAACTGCATAACCAATTCCCATAAACCACAAACGGAAAGGGATAGAAAAGAAACTGCACAAAAAGCCCCAAAACAACACAGCCAAGCTGAATCAGCCCAATTTGCTCACAAACTTCCAAGCTGCAGCAGCAGTCAAAATCACCAAATCTGCCTCTATCAAGCTCATGCTGTCACATGATGAAAACTCCAATGCTGCAACACGAAATAAACTTTATAGTGATCATCCAAGCAGAACAAAATACTCTCACCAGGAGAACCAAAGTAGCAGAAAAAACAGTCCACACAAGAGTCCATAATAGAAGGGACCTGCCACACACCACCTGTATAAGGATAAGAAAATCAAATCATCCCACTCCTCTTGAAGAGAGACCTGCACCTCCGCTCAACAGCCCTCCCCTGCCTCACACCAGTAAGAAAACACACCTCCCGCCTACCTTAAACCTGTATGAGCAAGATCAAAGCACCACACACACATTCCTAGGCTCCTTACACACAACAACAACTAAAAGCCTCCTATCAAACCCACCATTCCAACTTATTGTTACTCTTCTCGCTGTTGTTGTTGGTGTTGTTTGTGGTAGTTGTTGTGGTGGCAGTGGTTGTGTTGGTAGCAGTTTGATCATCGGCAATTTCAGCAACAGTAGCCATAGGATAAAAAAAAGGTATAAAATTTTGATGAAAATTCAACCAAAAAAAAAAAAAAAAAAAACGAATCAAATAAAACTACAAAAGTTTAGTTCAATCAAAGAATTCAATCGAGAGATAAGAATTGAACACGAAGAATGAAGATTGATTGAACAAAGAGGAATGGCGGTTGAACACAAAGGGATGCGAAGATCAGATCAGAAGGAGTGAGAAATTGGCAATCGTAAAAGCAAAAATATAAATATGAAATTTTGGGGATTTTGTATAAGTGAACCGGTTTTCTGTCAAGACCGGTTGGACCGATGGTTTGCTACTATTCCACTGGTCAAACTCTAGTCCAATCCGAGTGTATATATATGTATGAGTTTATTCAGTAACTGGACCGGATAAGAGGCCGGTCGACAATCGAACAGGTCGGTCTAGGCTGGGTTCCTAATCATTGTAAGGAACAATTCCTTTAGGTTTTTGCTAAGAGAAAGGTGTCCCTACAACTAGTGATTGGCAAGAAAGGTGTTAGTGATTCAATCCTAATCGGTCAGAAAATGCCATATGTCACCCTTCCATTCGGATAAGTTGAGAATACGAATTTGAGAGAAAAAGTAAAGTTTGTTACTGTTAAATCTTTCAATTGATTAAAAATATACAGAGTTTACAAACTCATTTATATGCACAAACAATACACGTGAGTAGCAGTGAGTAGCACTTGCCATTTACAGCAGTACACGTGTAAGTAACAGAAATTACAAATTTGGCAGCTTATACACTAATCCTAACATCTCCCCTTAAACCAAACTTCCATAAGCATGAACCATTTGATACACTCATCTTAGCATCTTCCCTTAAACTAGACTTCCATAATCTTCTCATTACTAATCTCCACTACTAAACCATATGATCAACATCAAGCTTAGTATTGAATCATCAGACTTTGCATTACAAGCTGACAGCTTCACCAGAGTTTAAAACAAACACTGCAAACAGCATACGTAGTAGCCTTCAAAACTCACCTTTAAACTTCACAAAGCATCAAAACAACTTTCAAAACTTTCAGCAAAATCATCTTCAACTCATCAGTCAGAAGTTTCAGCAACTACTTTCAATAATTTTTAGCTGACAATTCTGCTCCAATCCAATTCTGCACTACTTTTAAAATTTCACAAATCATCAAAACAACTTTTAAAACTTCAGCAAAATCATCTTCAACTCAACATGCAGAAGTTTCAGTAACTTCTTTCAAAATTCTGACAAGTCTGCTCCAATCCAATTCTGCACTACTTTTAAAATTTCACAAATCATCAAAACAACTTTCAAAACCTTCAGCAAAGTCATCTTCAACTCAACATGCAGAAGTTTCAGCAAGAAGCACATTAAATCAAAATTCTGACAAGTCTGCTCCAATCCAATTCTGCACTACTTTTAAAATGTCACAAATTATCAAAACAACTTTCAAAACCTTCAGCAAAATCATCTTCAGCTCAACATGCAGAAGTTTCAGCAAGGAGCACATTAAATCAACATGCAGCTCTTCTGAAACACCAACCAGCCAGAATTGTTAATTCAACAAAATTCACAAATTAAACACAAGTAACACAGAGCATCTGCAGTAGACTGATTAAACTGATGGAGTAGCTTTGACATTAAGCTTTTCTAGCACATTAAATCAACATGCAGCTCTTCTGAAACACCAACCAACCATAATTGTTAATTCAACAAAAT